GGAGAGGTGTCCTGGAGCTGAGATGATTGACCTCCAACAACCACAACCATCTTCTTATGTGTCAGGTATGACTCCAACCACCAAAGTGTTTGCCCCCTGATACCGATTGATTCCAGTTTTGCTAAGGCTCCTTGGTGCCACACTCGGTTGAATGCAGCCTTGATGTCAAGGGCTGTCACTGTCGTCTCATCTCTGGAATTCAGCTCTTTTTTCCATGTTTGAACCAAGGCTGTAATGAGGCCAGGAGCTGAGTGGCCCTGGCGGAACCCAAACTAGGCATCACTGAGCAGGTTATTGCTGAGCAGGTGCTGCTTGGTAGCACTGTTGATGACATCTTCTATCACTTTTCTGATGATCGAGAGTAGACTGATGGGGCGGTAATTGGGCGGGTTGGATTTGTCCTGGTTTTTGTGTACAGGACATGCTTAGTCAATTTTCCACATTGTCGGGTAGATACCAGTGTTGTAACTGTACTGAAACAGCTTGACTCGGGGAGTGGCAAGTTCTGGAGCACAAGTCTTCAGTACTATTGCCGGAATGTTGTCAGGGCCCATAGCCTTTGCAGTATCCAGTGTCTCCGACCATTTCTAGATATCATGTGGAGTGATTTGAATTGGCTGAAGACTGGTATCTGTAATGCTGGGGACCACTGGAGGAGGCCGAGATGAATCATCCACTCTGTACTTCTGGTTGAAGATTGCTGTGATTGCTTCAGCCTTATCTTTTGCATGGGGACATTTGTGGAGCTTCCCCCTCCAGTGAGTTGTTTAATTGTCCACCACCATTTACAACTAGATGGTAGGACTGCAGAACTTAGATCTGATCCGTTGGTCGAGGGATTGTTTTGCTCTATTACTTGCTGTTTGGAGGCTTTGCCAGGTTGACACCTCATCTTCAGGTATGCCTGGTGCTGCTCCTGGCATGCCCCCCTGCACTCTCCATTGAACCAGGGTTGCACCCCTGGTTTGATGGTAATGTTTGAGTGGGGGATATGCTGGGCCATGAGGTTACAGATTGTGCTGGAGTACAATTCTGCTGTTGTTGATGGCCCACAGCACCTCATGGATGCCCAGTCTTGAGTTATTGGATATGAGAGAAATCCGTCCAATTTAGCATGGTGTTAGTGCCATACAACACGATGGAAGTTATTCTCAATGTGAAGGCGGGACTTCATCTCCACAAGGCCTGTGCGGTGGTCACTCTTACCGATACTGTAATGGACAGATGCTTCTGCAGGTGGTGGATTGGTAAGGTTGAGGTCAAGTATGTTTTTCCCTCTTGTTGGTTCCCTCAGCACCTGCCGCAGACCCAGTCTAGCAGCTATATCCTTTAGGACCCAATCAGCTCGATCAGTAGTACTGCTGCCGAGCCACTCTTGGTGGTGGACATTGAAATTCACCACCCAGTACATTTTGTGCCCTTGCCATCCTCAGTGCTTCCTCTAAGTGTTGTTCAACATGGAGGAGTACTGATTCATCAGCTGAGAGAGGACAGCATGTGGTAATCAGCAGGAGGTTTCCTTGCCCATGTTTAACCTGAAGCTATGACACTTCATGAGGTCCAGAGTTGAGGACTCCTCGAGCAACTCCCTCCTGACTGTATCCCACTGGGCCACCATCTCTGCTTGGTCTGTCCTGCCAGTGGGACAGGACATACCAGGGATGGTGATGGTGGTGTCTGGGACATTGTCTGTAAGGTATGATGCTGTGAATATGACTATATCAGGCTGTTGCTTAACTAGTCTGTGAGACAGCTCTCCCAATTTTGGCACTAACCCCCAGATGTTAGTGAGGAGGACTTGGCAGGGTTGACAGGGCTGTTTCTGCCGTTGTCTTCTCCGGTGCCTAGGTCGATATCAGGTGATCCATCCAGTTTCATTTCTTTGAGACTTTGTTGTAATTGGTACAACTGCCTGGCTTGCTAGGCCATTTAAGAGGGCAACTGAAAGTCAACCATATTGCTGTGGGTCTGTAGTCACATGTAGGCCAGATCAGGTGAGGGTGGCAGATTTCCTTCCCTAAAGGACATTAGTGAACCAGATGGGTTTTTCTGACAATTGACAATGATTTCATGGTGATCAGTAGATTCTTAATTCCAGATATTTTTGTTTAATTATTGAATTCAAATTCCCCCATCTACTGGATTCAAACTCGGGTCCCCAGAACATTAGCTGTGTCTCTGGATTAATAGTTTAGCGATAATACTACTAGGCCATCGCCTACCCTTCAAAGTTTTGCTTGTAACTGAATAGCTTCAGGATCTTTTTCTATAAAAAGAACTTTTGTTTTCTTCAAATAAATCCATTCATGAAGGGTTAATACATCATTTTATTATGAATGTGGATGTTACGATACCTGAAATTCGAGTGACAGCCTCAGAAGATAGCAAGCTATCAAACAATAACGCCTCTCACCAATCAATCACATTATATTATTTTGATGAACAAATAAACACTGCATACAGAGATATGAGGTGGCATCAAAGTAACATATCCTTAAGGGAGGCTAAATAGGGGTTGGAGCTTTGTCAAAGGATTCTCCTGCTCATCCTCCAATAGCATCATCCCATGATGTATTCTCAGTAAAAATGTTGACCTTGATGGGTTTGTACAGATACAAATGTAGCCATGAGAAAGATGACAGGAGTTTTTAACTTTTGAGCCTGGCAAAAAGTTTGTAGAGCACTCCTGATACAACGTGATAGCATGGTTTAAATTCTGTGATAATCTATTAAGTTCCAAGTTTACTGAATTCAGTAGAATAACTCAAGATAAAGACATTGTGGCCGAGTCAAGTGCAGGTGTTCCAATGAATTGCACTTGCAACTCATGTGGTTCACTAATGTCCTTTAGGGAAGGAAACTGCCATCCTTACCTGGTCTGGGCTACATGTGACTCCAGATCCACAGCAATGTGGTTGACTTTTAACTGCCTTCTGGGCAGTTAGGGATGGGCAATAAATGCTGTCTAGCCAGCGACGTCCTCATCCCATAAATGAATAAACAATCATGATGTCAATCGCACAATGCGATTCAAGGGTGAGCGAGATAGTTGCTGGTCAACTCGCTCTTGATGAAATGCAACTTTGTTGACCATGCAGTCATCATTTACAAAAGAAAGAAAGTGGATTCAAAAGTTCGTACTCATAAAATTGAATTTAAAACTAATTCCAATCTTTCTTACTTTGCCTGTAGTCCACTAACAGAATTTCTAAAGAAAATTCACTGTAGTATGTCAAAAACTTTAATTTCCTTTACCAAAACTATCATCTAGAGGGTACAGTACTGGTGGAAGGAATTTCTCTACATTCTTTAAAAAAAACAGGAGGGAATAAATCCTTTTATAACTGTAGTTAACATAAATGAGGACTAAACAAGAGGGACTGGAAGGATAAGTTTCAGTGAAGGTGAGGAATAAGCCTGTGAGCAGATAACAGCAAATGAAGCAGGGTGCTTGATTCCCTTCTGGGCAAGCCATCGTATGCTAAAAGATACTTTGAAGTCCAAAGAAATTACTTCTTTCAGTAGTCTGTATGTGTCTCACTGCCCACTGCCAATTAGCAGCAAACCAGTTTCAGCCAGGTAAAGCAAAGACCCCAAATGTGGTGCATTCAAATGAAAATCGAAGAATACACAAACCTCCTTTGTGCATGCTACTCTGCTTAAAAATTCTCTTTTCATGTATATAGTTATACCTCTGGAGAATGTATATGCGATTTTCTCTCACAGCTACCTTTGGTTCTATCTAAGTGCTGTTTCTGCAAATAGTCTGTTTTCTTTCCTCATGGTTTCTCAAAAATACAAAATTTGATTGGTCTTTATCTGTATCCCACTGTACAACAGCCACACATTAGTGGTATTCACCTCCTGCTGGGTGTGAGAAAGACAATGCCCCAGATGCTTCCCTTACTGGAACTGACAATGCACAGGCCTCGACTTTAAGATATTTGTCCTGATGCCACTCTTAAAGATGATAGTAACTTGTGATGAAGCCACTAAGATAAGAGATCGGCTTCTGTTTGACCTTGAATTTCCATTCCTTGTGTAAAAATGAAAAATTACTAATAGAGCCAGAGGGTGGTTGTTTCTTGTCATTATCCTGTTGTCAATTCTGATGGTGGTTATTAATTTTTTTTTCTTTACGATTCACAATCTGCTCTTCGAAATGTGCCATATGTTCAAAGCAATTCAGGGATGACAACTGTCAGAATTACAACAATAAAAAATAGCCTAAACGAGGCAGATTTACTGCTTTGGAGTTTCTGCTGAAAATAACCCCTGAAATGCTCTAAGACATTGCCCTGTTCTGTTTTAAAATGCTATCATGTCGACAGTATAAGCTTTGAGATTTTTGTCAATAAAAGGATACAGTAATATCTTACAAAATAGAGTACTTAATAGGCTAAGTAATAGAAAATACTGAAATATATATTTTTCATTTATTATTTGGGGGAATTCAAAACAATATCAGAGTCTAAAATATCACTTTAATTTTGTGAAAAATTAACAACTTAAAGCAATAAAGGCTGTTTTATCTATGATTAATAAAAATTCATTGAAAACCAACTAGTGTCGGTGTAGTGATAAAACAGAGTCCTGGAAAATTCTGCTCGTAGAGTTTCTGAAGAACAGACTAATCACTTGAAACCTCAAATTGAAGCACATACTGGAAAGTAGAGCCCCTATTTTCACTGACTATTCATTTTGTATCAGTCTATTTATTAGTCCTGTCTCCTTTATTTCTCTTCATTTATGGGAATAATTCTTCATTCCTTTATAAAATTAAATCTAATAGAATGTGATAAAGGGAACAGTTTGGCAATTATGATGTCAGCACTCTTTGCAGGCATGCAGGAGATCGAAATGAAGTTGGGGACAGGGAAGGGAATTCTAATAGGCACCATGATATATACAATGAACGCCAAGATGTCCACTGAGAGAAAGACTTGTCAGGCTAATCAGATTTTCTATATCCAAGCAAAGACAGTAACATAGGCTCTAACCTTGTAAAGATGCTGCTGCTGCTCTTCTGACATCATCAGGTCATGGCTGTCCATCACTATGGATTCCATGTCAATCAGCCAATCCCAGAGCTCCTGGTACTCCGATTCAAAGTCCAGAAGGCTGGAAAGAAGAATTAAAAATGCATTATGTATGACATAAATAAAATATATATTCCTGAATGAATGTTGACTGGAAATTTTAATTGCTTGTTATAGAGAAAATTAAAACTTGAAACTAGCCAGCAAGACTTCATTAAAATCTAATGTAAGTAGATAGCACAGCATGATAAATAAAGTAAAGTAATAATGTACCAGAGAGTCAAAAAGAAGCATTCACATAATTAGATTTTAACAATGATAAACTCATGACCATTATTTTGCTACGTTATTCATGGGTAGCAAAGACATATGATAGGCCATATTATGGAAATGATCAACAAATTTGATTCATTGCCTCAGTATTGTTTTAAACCAGTTTATAAATCCCCATTTTAATACAACCTTTTCATCAGAATCTCAACTGGATAGATGTATATTAAGTAAACACGACAGCCAATAGCACAGAAGGCAAGCCTACAGCCAAAGGTTTTATAAGTTGAAAGTATATCAGACACACTTTTTAGTTGGGCATGAGTGAGTATGCCAAACCACTCACAAGGGCTAGATGGAGCACTAGACAGGTGCTCCCCATAGACATGTTTGATGCAAAGGTGAGGCCATAAAGTCAAAATGAGGAATTCTCAAAAAGACAGTAATCATTAAAATTCAAAAGATGATTGTAAGGTTTGCATTAAATAAATCATTAGATTGAGGGGCTTAAAAAGATTAAAGCCATGTTCAGTTCAAAGCACATCGCCCGAGTTATCTGAACTCTCTGGCTTACAACTCAGCTCTAATACTCTGATGCAGTAAGCAGTGGTAATTGTGAAAAATGCACACATCAACAAAGCAATGTGCGGTTCTCAAGAATTACTTAAATGTGACACTAATATGCATCAAGAAGACTGTATTTGACCAATCCTTCACAAAAAATAACCATTCTTCTAAATGAGGAATATGTTGTTCAATGCCAGTTAATGGAAAGAGAACTAGTCTTCTTCAGAAAAAAATTCTGTCATATATGAAAAGTATTCAAAATTTGATTCAATGAACGTAGACTTAAATGTCACAGCAAATATAAATGTTCTATTCGGCAATGCTTAAGAAAAGAATTGTTTCTGTTACATGTATAATGATCTGTTCAATGGGCAACAGAATGAATTCTCTGGGATTTCATATGCAAATAAAAATCCTAGGTAATTCAAATCATGAATTTCACACAATTTTCACTTTTGATTCAATCTGAGTAAACAAAAGCAGCACACTGGCTTTATGGAGGCATTTGAAATATGCTTCAAATGTACAGTACAATTTCTTCCAAAGCCCCTCAATGTAATGTTGAACTCTTCAAGTATGTTCTTACCAGGTTCTCCTTGAAAGAGTCTTCCATGCATGCAGCTTAACTGCGCATGTATCAAAATAAATTGCATGTGCTTATTACAATTTTCATATTACACAGTTTTGGTTTTCAAATTCAATTTATTTTATGTATCTCTAATTTATAATCTGACAATTTGCAAATGATTTATCTTTAAAAATTGAGTTAAAAGATTTTTCAAAGAAACTATTAATGGTACTGAAATAAAATAGATGACACCAAGTTGCAAGAAGTATCATATAATGTTATTTCAAAAATATGTTAGTGCCAAATCAATTTTGCTACATCATGAATTATCTCCAGGCCTACATGATGTATCTTCCTTAAGCTGGAACAGCACTTTCAAAGTTAAGTACAAGCTTTACCTTCACTTTTTGACGTGGCTGATAAAGGCGGGAAAAGAATGAGACTCACAGACTAAGTACCATCTCCAATTCAACTGAGTTGACTGGGTTGATTTACAAGGAAGCATTAGTTCTGAGGCCACTTGGATAGCAAAAAGAACATTACCAGGGTTCCCTCTCTTGAACAATAATCCCAGCATCAGGCTTCACTGCATGAACTCCACAGCAGAATAGCTTATTAGTATCTTACTAGGCAGAAACATGAAGAAGGGCAAGGTACTGAAGGGTGAATTCAATCCCTCTCCTTGATAATTCCCAATTTAACCATCAAGTTAACTGTCAAGTTAAGGATACTCCTTCACAATGGCAAAAAAAGAACATCTTAGTCATCATGACCAATCCTTACATACATTCTAGTGATTAGATAATAAGTGATACAATCAGATGCTTGGAAGCTCATTGAATTATTCCCCAGCTGAGCATCAAAGAGTAAATAAGGACCAAATTAACCTATCTTTATTGGTATGCAATGCTTGCACAGCTTATCATCATCAGTCAACTAATGCCAGGCCTCCTGTAACAGTGCTCTATTCTTTAAGGTAGAGGCTTGAACCTGGTGTTGTGTTTCAGACTGTCCATATTTGCTCTTTCATTGGCTTGTTATGTACTGCAGCTGTATATAATGGCTTCAGGTTGAGGATGCTGATGCCTAATTCAAGGTTTAGCTCATCTGCCTTTTGATGGTCTTTTGTAGCTATTCCTCAAGCTCAGATAGCCCTGTGGAATGGTACAATAGGAAGAGTAACACAGAGGCAGTTGAAAAAAGAAATACTCATTGTAAATATACATGTGTACAGACTGTAAAACCACCTCTTGATATGAAGTCTATTGTTCTAGTCATTGTGATTTGAAGGCTAGTTTGCAATGGGTAAATGCTCCTTTTCTGCTTCCTCACTGAACCACTGCGATCTTACGAAGAGCTCTTCTAGAATGCCTTCAATGGAAATCATATTCTTTGAAGTCTGTTGGAAAGCTATCTCTTAGTTGCTTTTCTACTTATGCAGCCTTATCCTGCATGTTTTCCTCTTCCAATTTCCAATTCCCTTTTCAGCCTCTGATACAAGGGGGATGCAGATGGAAATGTCCACTGAAAACTCCATTGGTAAGGACTTCAAAATAGAAATAAATAACTTGCATTTACATAGTGCCTTTCATGGTTTCAGTCCTAAAGGCCATTGTAACTGGAAAGGTATGTTTCAAATGGAGCTATTCTTGATATGTAGGGAAACAGATGAGGCAAATGATGAGCAGTACTCCACTAAATTGTCACCTCAAACTTTCTTAAATGGGCTTGAATCCATAACTTCTTCGTGAGTGGGAAGAAAAAGATTTTCTGCATGAAAGTGGCAGAATCATTTCTTATCAGAATAGCCAAAAAGAAATTTCCTTAATTGCTTCAGTCAGATCTGATATTTCATAAAAAGTTTAAGGAGATTCAAATCTAACAGAGTCAGTCATTTCCTTGCTTGAATGCATTATGTATGTGATTGACTTACCTGTCGGTTCTTTTAGACTTACCAAGTCAGGTGTAATGCTAGTAATAAATGTTGTGAACTCAGTGACAGCAGCTTTTGCCTTCATTACTCTAAATGTGCACCAATTAGTGGGTAAACACATTTTTTGCCAGACCCATGTCTCACTGGCATTTAGTCCATTTTATAGGTTGGATATAACTGGCATATCTGACTCACAATCAGTCAAGTGGCCCCTACATAAAATTACATTATCTTAAGGGTCAGTTGGTCGCTGGTAGCTCTCTAGCCTCTGAGGTAAAAGATGGTTAATTTAAAACTCATTCCAATGACATGTATACAAAATCTAGACTGATGCTCCAATGGAGCACTGAGGTGAAATGTTAAGCCATTGTTTTGTTTGTCCTTTGGATGAGTAGAAAAGATCCTATGATATTCTTTGAAGATGAGCATGGGGTTGAATTAACCAATACATATTCTTCAACCAACACAACTGAAGCAGATTTTCTGGTCATGATTACATTGATGTTTGCGGGAACTTACTATACATAAAATTTGCTTCTGTGTTTCGACATTTCAACAATGATTACAATAATACTGAAATGTAAAGCACTGGGATATCCTGAAATAATGAAAGGCACTACATGAGTGCAAATCTTCCTCTTTTGCAGCACTTTTGCTCCCAATGTACTAGAATTTGGGGATTCTTGTCATAAATCAAAATCCGTATAAAATGTGCAAAACAACAAAATAGAGAAATGTGGAGACAAACAAAATTACTCTGTTATGTATAGTCTAATCATGATCATGCCCTTCCTGAATGGACTGATGATGCTTTCAATGCGTAGAGACCAGTGAAATTCTTTCCCCATTAGGAAGCACGCATTTTATGGAATGCATAGGAGTTCTTTATATTTCAAATCACTAATATCAAGATACAAGACAGGTCCCTTGGAAATACCTGCATGTGTTTGGCCTATACATGATTATGTACTTTCAATAATACTGTCCTCTTATTATTCTCCTTCCCATTGTTGAAATACTCTTGACGTATAAGACATCAAGATGGAGAAAATCCAAATATTCAAAGCAAAACAGCAGTTATTATGAAGTTTCCAAAACATGTGCAATGATGGAATATTTCGCTAAAAGTAAGTAAATAGAGTGCCTGAAGAAATGAAGATTGTAATATTAAACTCAACTAACTCCTTCGTCCGTCAAGGGTTGGGGTGGCAGGGGTTTCTGACATAAAATGGCACTTAAGGCCTAGCTTCAAATTTTATCATTTACTTTAACATCTTAAATAGGCCAATTTAATTTACCAAGGCCTGAAAAGGGCTTGCTGCAGAATTGCACAGTATATTTAATTTATAAAAATGAATACATATTATTATGTACTTAACAACAGTCATATGATGTAGTTCATGAAACAATTAACCCTGGCAATTAAAGATTAAACAAAGATTAATGATCAAATAAATCCCATACCTGTAAGTATCTACCCGATTGACTTTTGACATTGCAGCAAATTCTTGTTTTCTATTGTTGTGACTTGTGTACTGCTCGCTATAAAGCTTCAATGACATCTGTTCCACAGCATCTCTCCTGGTCTCTAAGTTGATAAGCTGTATTTCTCCCTGGAAACAGAGGTGCATGTAACTACTAAATATAAATAGCTCAGCATTCATCAATAGCTCAGAATAATCTCTGAATCCTAAACTCCAATGCAAGGATTTCAGATATTATCCTTTGAGAATCTTGAAAGTATATGGGCATTGCATCAATAAAATGGCATACTTAGGCTTTAGACAAAATGAGTAACGTATTCTCACTCCCTTGTGTGCTATTCAACTGTATAATTTTACAGAAGCCAAGCTCACATTTAGTGAGATTCAAATGAAATGTAGTACTCAGTGGGTTAACAATTAAGGTTGCTTACAATTTCTGGTCTCCAAGGCAAGTCAGGGCAAAGAGTGGGAGTGATTTTACAATGTCAGAATTTAGTTCAGTTGGCTGATATTACAATAGTATTCATTCAACTTTGTCACCAGAGTTTTAAGGGCTTAGATCACTAAATTTTAGCAGCACTGTTATATTGCATAGTCCTGATTGTCGCAAATTATTGGCAGAAGCAATTTGCAAGCATCGCCTTGTAGACTAGGACAGATTTTTTTCAGGTAATCCCACACCACTTCCACAATCATTAATATTTTACTTGCAATGTTTTCCATTCTATTTCAATTCTGCACTTTTAAAATTTGGCTTTAGACTACAACCTTTCCCCAGTAACATTCATTAGCATTCTCATTTCAGGCAAACTATGTTCCATAGAATCTGTTCATGACACAACTAATTTACCTGTATCCTGGAGTAATTCAGTACTTCTATCCCAAGATATTGCTACCATAGTTTTCAACATGAATGCAAAACAAACCAGAATAAAAAAAATCCTATTTGCAACCTTTTAAAGAATCTCAGTTGTGTTCTATTTGCACTATGAAAATGCTGCTGTTAGAATTTCTCCAATAATATTGCCTGCTTTCAATCTCAGTTTCTTGTATCACGTTTGTGTTTGAATTTTTTTGTTGATTCCCTCCCTATGCTGAATATTGTTACCATAACAGGAGCAGTGGACAGATAGACCTATCTCCAATCCTCTCTCAGTTAATAGTTCTCCACAGCTTAAGAGAGCATAGAAATGTTGGGACTGTATCATACACTGGTTCTCTCTTCAATTCACCCACCATTCTCTAGGAAGCACCTTCTGTCAATGATTTGGGTATGTATTCCAACTGTGGGTTACAATATGATGAATTACAATTTAGCATTCCAATTTGCAATGTGTGGGTACAGTTGCAAATTGAATCATTCAACCATATGCATTGTCTTCCTGGCTGAATGATTCCACTTCACCTCCAGGTTAGAAATTTTTGGGTTCTAGGGTCACTCCAAGACACGCACATAAACTAAGCTGACAGTTGAGTGCAGTACTGAAGCATTGCCGCAGTACCAGAGGAGCTAAAATGCCAAAGGCCCATTCTGCCTGTGTAGGAGAATGTAAAGGATCCTGGAATCCTCACCAACCTCTTCAAATGAAATGATTACCTGTTTGCTAACTGCAGGACTTTGCCAAGCACAAATTGGCTACTTACTTGCCTACACTTCAAAAATACATAATGAACGAGTAATAATGGCATTTTGAAAACACAAAGGGTGCTGAATGTTGTTAAGTAGTGACATTTGGCAGGTATTCACTATTACAAAATGATGTGCTTTAAACATTCTATTTTATGAAGCTACTTCTGTCTGACATGCATGTGATTTCCCCAAATGTACCGACTGATTGTGGAATTCGACTGTTCAAATTGAATAAATAAAAACCAAAAGAACCATAGATGTTGTAAATCAGAAACAAAAATAGAAATAGCTGGAAAAGCTCAGCAGGTCTGGCAGCATCTGTGGAGAGAAATCAGAGTAAATGTTTCAAATCCAGTTACCCTTCCTCAGAGCTGATGGTAGTGAGGAAAAAGTTGTTTTTTATGCAGAAGATAGGTTGGGAGGAAGGGGTAAGAAGTAAATGATAGGTGGAGACAGAGCCCAAAGAGATAGAACAGTTGGACAGACAAAGGACTGGATACGATCAGGCTAGGAGGCTGAATAGCTGTTAATGGGAACTATTAGTGGCTAATGAGAGACAACAAGGTGCAGAGCTGGATGAACACAGCAGGCCAAGCAGCATCATAGGAGCAGAAAGGCTGACGTTTCGGGCCTAGACCCTTTTAATAGTGGGTTGTGTGTAATAGCAGACCATGTGATAACAAGATCTGTTGTTGGGTTTAGGGTAAGGACATGGGAGAAGGTGCCTCAAGCCCTAAAATTGTTGAACTTGATATGGAGTCCAGAAGGCTGTAGAGTTCCCAAATGGAAAATAAGGTGCTGTTCTTTCAGCTTGTGCTGAGCTTCGTTGGAGCACTGCAGCAAACCTGAGACAGAATTCAAATTGGGTATTTATTTTCATTACTTCAGGAAAATCTAAATATTTTCTTTCCACCGACCACAAAATCAAAATATGTATAAAGCACTTATTTATCATAATTCATGCAGGAATATTTAAAGAGTTTTTCAGTTTGTTATCTTTATCAGCTTGTTTCCAATGGATAATTGACCAGTTAGTACATTACCATTTGTAATGTGAGGAACTTGTGGGGGGAAAGTTTAGATTCCAGAGATCTGTTAAAGTATCTATTTTAAAATAAAGGTTCCTGTGGAATTACACACTTAACTGAACAGACCTCGATAAAAATTGATCACAACATGCTGCCTAGCCGTTGACACAACACTTTTGCCTTGAAGTCACAATGAGACACAAGTTACACTATTATGTTCACAATGAGTTTAACATTATCTAGTGAGCAGGATAGTGCTCTATGGAACATACCATTATCCCTTAATTATGGTCTCATGCGCCAAAGACTTAAGTAAACATTTCTGCACATTCTCTGGTTTAATCCAAAATGGGGCAAGTGTCACATTGTTAGAAAATTATGGTCAGTCTAAATAGATTCAGTTACAAGTAAAATAATTGGACAAAAGTCAAGAAGATGTTACTGATACAACATACAAGCTATTTTCAGTAAAACCCAGTATGTTTAACTCTGTGATACAGGACTTCTGGCATGTAGTGGAAATCAACAGAATCAAGAGAATTACATGACACGATTCCTCATTTTCTATTCATTCTGTGAGGTGACTAATGATTTAGGATGTATATTGTAAGGTAGCTTCTGTTGAAGTTTAGCAAGACTAAAGTTGAAGTATAGGCCTGTCTTTGGGTGCTGGCCAGAGTCCACAAAAGAGTAAAGTCTGACCCCTGGAGGAACCAGTCTTGCACTGCTGGAGTTTCACATTGCATACAATTGACTATTGCAATATCAAACCAGCTTTCTATGACATTCAGTAAGTCTATTGGGCCTCCAACTCAGAACTTAATTAAATATTTGGACCTGCAACATATCTTTTATATCTGAAATGTTTATGCTTCCTATTTAGTCCTGCGCTTTCTTTCCTTTATTAACATAAATACATATTTCTTAAAGATATTTCCTTGCTATTATCAACAAATGTGAAATGAAACATTGTGGGCATTAATAGCTTATACATCATGTGCTTAATGATCATGTATGTGACAATCTACTAACAAGGTAAGTGAGAGATTGAGCTGGAAGTTTGGCATCTGTAAATTACAGTCTTGTAGCCTTAATAATTCAGGACAAAATATAAAGTATTTATTTCTAAGTAGCACTCTACCTATGCCCCTGTCCCACTCTGTAATAAGTGATGTGATCACTTTAATGTTCCTTATTTCAGATGCAGTCTACTGGATTTCCTGACTTATAAAAACCTGCGTGCAAGGTTTAAATTTGTGAGGGCTGATTTCCGAGGTTGGCCTAAAACTAACACAGTCTTGTCAATGCAAAATAAAATCAATCTAAAGTTCAACTGTTTGATGAATATTTACTTCTGTCTCTGGAGTTTTAGGTTCAGATTTGAAATCTGCTGAATCATGTAATTTATTTTGTGTGTATGCCAACACCAATTTACTATCTGCAAGAAAGTTCCTGAACTGAAAGTCCCTTGTGGATTCTCTGTTGGATATTCTGTCAATCAGAAGGGGTATGTAAAGCATTGCCAGTAGGAAGCATTATCATTTACTATTCATACCCTACTCTGTATGCTCACAATGAATTTTCTGATTGCTGTAAGCTCTAACATGTACTCTGGTGATAGCATATGTAAACATCAATCATTCATACATCATTGAAGATTACAGTGTCCTGTCAATTGTATGGTTAAATATACTTTTACAAGGCCTGTCAATAATTACAAATATTCTGCCTAATATTAAACATTGTTTGCTGTTGATGGAAAAGAACCAAAGAAAAACTACAATTTTTGAGAATAAACAGAAATCCTTAAAATCAATAGAGGAAAACGTACGTCAAAAACCTTTTGTGGTTTGGAAATAACAACAGCAACTGCTTTCTTCGATACCGTTGAAAGATTTTCCTACTTATTTGTTTGAATTAACCAGTAATAAAATTCTATTTTTGCTGCTTTTTACAGTTAGGAGCAATGAAAAGAAAGACTTCAAGTGTATTTTAAAGCTTAGAGAGCAGCATTTTAAAATGCTCCACAGGAGTGAAGCAAACAGGAAAGAACTATATGAGAAACAGATGGCAAATGTAGCATATATTTTACAGAGATAAAAAAAAAAATCAGTGCCTCTAGTGACAAGCATTAATAAACTCTTCAGGATTTTAAAATTACAGGCATGCTTTTAATATATGCATTGGAAAAATGCAAAAGATGCTCGAAAAGCTATATGGTTGTATGTTGAATTCAAATTATGAAAAACCCGTAACCACAGCAGCTTCAATTGAGATATTTGGAAGATTAAAGGCCATTGCTTTAGGCAGGTGTTACACAAGATTCCATTAATATATGTAATTAACATTGGCCTAAGCTTTAATGAACATGCAAACCTTAATTAGCAATGCATTAGATGACATGTAAAAAGCTGATCTTAATGTCATCGCTAAAATTCTCAAGCTGAGAGTATACTGAGAATAAAAATAAATTCTCGTTCTCAAATTATATCTCAAATTGGCAAAGAGATTTGTTATGGCTACTGGGAAGTGAACAGCACTTTTGGAATATTTAGCAGGAATCTACAATGCAAACACCAGGGTAGATATTCTGATGTCACTCATTATTAGTTAATGGTATGACTGCAAAATACAATAAAATTGATAAAGCATAATTTACATGTAGAATTTAATAAAATTTTAGTATTTATCATTTTAGTACTTTGGATCTATTAATACTCTAAAACCTCAATTAAACATTATCATGACTCAAGGTAATCTCAACATTGAAAGATGTTGTGCTATTTAAATATTACAAGAAATATCATTTTCACTGTTTTACAGACCAATACTTACACATTCTAAAAATCTGCCAAAATTATTGGAAACCTCTTTCCCAATATGATAAACTAAAGTTAGCAGGATATTGCAGAATAAATTAATGTCTATGGGGAAAGGGTATTTTAACAGAGATAGTAAAAGTCATTGATTTTAAAAGCCTGCAGTATGTTAGCAGGAATAGTAATAGAGGGAAATTGATTTTAATATCTGATAATGAAAGACAAAAGAACACTCGTGAAAGATCACTCTGAAACCTGGGATAAAGAGATACAATTCACTGACCAGGAAGACAGAGTAATTAAGTTAAGCAAGAACAAAAGCTATAGAAAGTGTTTTTAAAATTTCCAACCTACATTACAGCGCAGACAACACAAAACCACAACCTTCTGAACCAGTGTATTGTACACTAGCTTTTTGTACATAGACTTACAGATTTCTAATTTGGCTAAAATCATTTTACTTTTGTTGAGAAATTCCATCATAACATGATACTGTTTTGGTTAAAATTCTAAAAGAAGGCAATGTCACATTGGTAACGGATGTGCCGTAAGATGGATCTCAGATATTATATCAGAACCCTACAATTAAATACCCATTAATCTAAAATTCCTTATTATTTTTAAAGCCATTCCTAAGGAATTAACAGCTTAAAAATCAGTGGTTTTCAGTTCAGTTCTTAGGATTAAAAAGTAACATTCATAACAGAAAGCTTTAATTAAGGTCATATCTATGTTTTTACAATTGCCTGCAACAAACTTCACAGTGCCATGAAGCAAAAGTTAAAAATCCTTCTAAAAAATGAAAAAGTCTAAACTTGCTGTTGACCTCATATCTGATAACTAAATGATTCTGACATAGAGTTTATTTGCTTTTTTTCTGTCTAATAATCAACCTTCAAAGTTCCTGTCAGGTAAATGACCTTGTATTTCATTAACAGATAATTAAATGGATTTATTCCACTAACGGCTTTAATTAAAATGCTAGAAATATTGATTACCACTATCATCCTTATTCCCAGGGATGGGAAAGGTTTTAAGAGTGTTTATTTAGAAACGACAGAGAATTAAATTAGATTGAATCTCTGGGAGACCCAAAGAAACATAATGCTTTCCTGTACTTCAAGCAGAAAATGAGATTTTGCTTCTTTGTTGTAACACTTAATTTCTTTTAACAATGATTACTGTTTATCTTAATATCACAGAGGAGATGTTTTAAATAAAAGTAAATGAGATGTCATGGAAACAAAGCAAGCACCTTGATGTTCAGGTATGAATCTGTCAGTCTGATCCCTCAGCAATAGAGCCATTAGAGTCAAACAAAGGAGTATATCAACTGAGATGCTTTTTGCTGTCTAGTGTCCAGATTTAGAACAAATAGCCCATTAATGTGATCATAAACTGGTCCACTTTTCAATGCTGCATTCTTATGACTTCTTTACATGGTCTCTGACAAATTCATGAGTAATATGGTAACAAGGATAAGCTTTTCACATAAGCACGTATTGCTTCCACCTTTGCTCATTATTACTTCACGCACCACTGCAGCATCTTCTGCACAATAGTCATGCTGTGTTATAAGGAAAATGTAACTAGAGGGTACACATTAAAATTTTTAGATTGGTTGATGCAGGGAAACAAAGATGTATGGAGCTATCATGTCATTCCTATAAGGTCCCTTCAGGAGGGTTAACACATCTTTTTTCTAAATTTCTTCAACCTACAGGGTACGTTTCATCTGGGTAGTGCTAGGCTATTTTAAAGAATGCATTTTGTGACAATCAGATCTTTTTTGCCTTTTAGGGGATGGAAGTTGATTTAACAGCTTTATTGGATGTCTGCCTGAGGAATCAGACTCAAAGCTTTGTAACTTTCATTAAAAACATAATTGACTCTTAACCCTAGAAGCTTCACTTGCAGCATTTAATGTAATAACCGTAGGGAGTTTAGTTTATTTTGTCTGGTAAGGATTAATCTCTTTTCAGCTACAATTATGATGAAAAGATTCACTTTCTGAAATTTAGTTGCCTAATTCACAATGTTTTGAAGCTGGTTAGAAGGAGTTTTCAGATTTGACTGTGAACTCTCCAGATTTCTAAACTTACAGAGTGAATGATGAGATCAAGGAATTACTCTTCCAAAACTGAGACAGATGCTATATCTGCATTCTGGAAATCAATCTTTTGTTCTTTTTAAGATGATTGTTTTTCCCTATCTTTCACTCCTGAATCAGAGAAGAGGGCAGGTTAGGGGTGGGATGGGGCTCGATCGGAGATTGGAGTTGTAAATGATTAGAGGCTGAAGGTTAACTGGAGGCTGTGGGGCATGTTCAGAAGATGAGAGAGAAATCACAGACCCTTGTGAGGGGAGAGTAGGTAGACAGTGCTCCAATCATGGAGGTATAGTGAGGCAGGAATGCTGGATCCAACAATTAGGCTGCTGAATTTCCCAAAGTCCCGTCAGATTCAAATTGAAAATTTTGGACCAAGATGAGGCTGTCAGCCATATTAATAAGATATAAATTGTCATTCTGTCTCCTGGGAGTGGGTTGGTTGCCCACCCTCCATCATTCAACCCATAAAACCAGGTGAGTTAAAGTCAGTTTGTGTTGGGATTCAAACTTTGAACACTTTAACTCCCACCTGACACAATTCCATTTTTTTCTGAGATTAAAATGCCCGGGTAATATCGAGGCCTGAATTTTTGTTCAAGAGTCAGGGGCACAGAATCAGGAAAATTTCCAGCTCCACAAGCCCACATTGGGATAAAGTATCCTGGATGTTCTGATTTTCATTCTGAGAGTGTAGAGTGTGATAGGAGCCATGTCTGCCAACCCTGGCAAGTATTTGGAGGCAGCCACTGGAGCAGCTGGGCACTGAGGTGGACAATGGAAAAACATCATCCAAGGTATTCAGGCTCTTTGTCCCAGATGGAAAATCAGCAAAGGAAAATGAAAGACTCCCTTTCGATCCTCACCCTTCATGTCCCCTCCCCGCCACATTGACTCATTTGCTTCTTGCCAACCTTTCCCCTCTACCCATCTTCATGGCCACTCATACATTTCATGCCAAGTCAAACCTAGTACCTAACATGGGTATTCCTCAGAACCTAAGCTGAGAAGTGAAATAAAGTTCCTAACTCATTACTGATTAATTTATCATTTAAAAAAATTCTTATTGATAGAAACCCATTGACTATATTTAACTTCTTTCAATTAGTTAATCCCTCAGGAAAATAAAATGGGTATTCATATTTTGGCATCCAACTTCAAATCCTTTAAAAGCTTGGTGTTATAAGTGATTTTGTAGACCACCATGGTAACAATAGGTTATGAAATCAGACATTTAATACAACACCTATCTAAATAACCTTCAGACTTAGGGCTACAAAGAAAAATGAAATAGCAAGAACTGATTACTTTTTTAGCCTGCAGGCACTTCACCATTTCTCTTGCTCCTTCATCACCATTAACTGCTTTTCCATCCAGGTCCATCATACTCAATCCCTCCCTTTGTCTCACCAGTTCAGGATATTTCATCTGAGCTGCAGAGGAACCAAAAGTTACAAAGAGGAAGGAGGTTCTGCTAAGGGAATATGAGCAGCTAGGGGCTAAATTAAAATGCAGAACCAAAAAAAGTTAAAAATCCCTGGATTACTTCCTGAGCCACGAGCAAACTGGCACAGAGTCAACAAGATTAAAGAGGTAAACGTGTGGATCAAAGATTGATGTGGGAGAAATGGATTTGAATTCATGGGACATTGGCATCAGTACTAAGGAAGGAGGGAGCTGTTCCAATGGGACAGGCTCCACCTGAATCATGCTGGGACCAAAATCCTGGTGAATTGCATAACTAGGGCTGTAGATAGTGCTTAAAATTAAATAGTTAGGGGGTGGGGGTGATGTTGCAGTTCAGTTGTATTGAAAATTATGGAAAATGTTAAAGGAGGGAGGACTCAGGAAAGGTTATTAAAGTTTCCAGACAAAGTAGTATGATAAAGAGCTTGGAAGTGGTTAGAAATCAAACTTCAGGCACAGCAGGTAAGGGACAACTATGGCACTGAGGGTGTTGTACTTAAATGCATAGAGTTTTGAGATAAGGTAAAGAGCTTGTAGCGCAGATTGAAATTGGCGGGTATGATGTTGTGGGTATCACAGAGACATAGCTGCAAGGAGAGTTAAATATCCAAGGATACACATTCTATTGAAAGGAACAGGCAGATGGGCAAAGAGGGCAGGGTTGCCTTGTAGTAAGAAATGAAATTAAATTCATAGCAGGAAGTGATATAGAGCTGGAAGATGTAGAATCTGTGTGGGTAGAGGTGAGGATCTGCAAAGTGAAAGGACCCTGATGGGAGTTGTGCACAGGCCTCCTAGTAGTAATTAGGATGTGAGGAAGAAAATACATTAGGAGATTATAAAAAGGCATGTAAGAAAGGCATTACTACAATAATTGTGGGGGGACTTCAATATGCAGGTGGACTGGGAAAATCAGGTTGGGAGCAGATCTCAAGAAGAGGAATTTGTGAAATGTCTATGAGATGTTTCTTTTGGCATAGCTTGTGGTAGCAGCAATTCTGGATTTGGTGATGTGTAGTAAAGCAGACTTGATTAGAGAGTTTAAACATTAAAGAAACCCCACAGGGCAGTGACCACAATAAAATGTCGAATTCACCCTGCATTTTGAGAGAGAGAAGATGAAATCAGATGTAATGGTATTATAATTGAGTAAAGACTTGAAGGAGGAGCTAGCCAGAATTGTTTGAAAGGGGACCCTAGCAGGGAAGACAGTGGAACAGCAAAGGCAAGAGTTTCTGAAGCTAATTTGGAAGGCACAGCAGAAGTTCATCACAAGGAAGAAGAAACATACTAAGGGGAGGATGAGGCAACCATGGCTGACAGAGGGATTCAGGGACAGCATAAAAGCAAAAGAAAAAGCATAAAATGTGGTGAAGACTATTGGGAAGTCATTAAAAACCAGCAGAGGATAAGGAGATAGAAGATGAAATGTGAAAGTAAGCTAGCGAGTAATATAAAACGTTACAAGAGTGTTCTGAGTTCTGAGGAAGGGTCACTAGACCCGAAACACTAACTCTGATTTTTTCTTCACAGATGTTGCCAGACCTACTGAGCTTTTCTAGCAATGTTGCTTTTATTGCAAGAGTGTTTTTAGACATATATAAGGTAAGGGGAAAGCAATAATGGGCATTGGACCACTGGAAAATGAGGCTGGAGAAGTAGTAATGGGGAACAAAAAAATGGTAGAGGAACTGAAAAAGTACTTTGCATCAGTTTTCACAGTGGAAGACACCAGCGGTACACCAGAACTTCAAGAGAGTCAGAGAGCAGAGGTAAGTGTAGTGGTCATGATGAAGGAGAAGGTGCTGAGGTAGCTGAGAGGTCCGTAGGTGGATAAATCACCCCAGAGTTCTGAAGGAGATAGCAGAGGAGATTGTGAAGGCATTGGTAGTGATCTTTCAGGAATCAATCGAGTCACAAAGGGTCCCAGAAGACTGGAAAATGGGTATTATAACACCCCTGTTTAAGAAAGGAGGGAGGCAATAGATAGGAAACTATAGGCCAATTAGCTTGACCTTAGCATTGGTAATGGTCAGAAGTCACACGATACCAGGTTATAGTCCAACAGGTTTATTTGAAATTACAAAGCTTTTGGAGCGCTTTGTCACTTGACAAAGAAGCAGGGCTCCGAAAGCTTGTGATTTCAAATAAACCTGTTGGACTATAACCTGGTGTCATGTGACTTCTAACCTTGTCCACCCCAGTCCAACACCAGCACCTCCACATCATTAGTACTGCTAAGACTATAGAATCCACTATTAAGAAACAGATTGTGGAGTACTTGGAATTGCATGGTGAAATCAAGCTGAGTCAACACAGCCTCATCAACAGTAGGTCATACCTGACAAATCTGTTAGAATTCTTTGGAGACGTAACGAGCAAGTTAGACAAAGGAGAGCCTGTGGATGTGATCTATTGGGATTTCCAGAAGTCTTTGACAAGATGTTGCACAGGATGCTATGAAATAAGATGAGAGCTCATGGTGTTAGGGACAAGGTGCTAGCATGTATTGGCAAAAGAAAGAAAAGGAATAAAGGGATAACAAGGTGTAGAGCTGGATGAACACAGCAGGCCAAGCAGCATCAGAGGAGCAGGAAAGCTGACGTTGTTATCTCAGTTTCTCCAGCATTGGCAGTTCTTACTATCTCTAAAGGGATAAAGGGGTCTTTTTCAGGTTGGCAGCCAGTGACTAGTGGAGTTCTGCAGGTCCATATTGGGACCACAACTATTCATGTCATAAATTAATGATCTGGATGTAAGAACTGAGAGCATTGTTGCTAAGTTTGCAGATGACACAAAGATAGGTGGAGGGGCAGGTAATGTTGAGGAAGCAGGGAGGATACAAAAGCCCTTGGACAGGAGAGTCGGCAAAGAAGTGGCAGGTGGAATACAAAGTGGGAAAGTGTGAGGAAGAATAGAGGCAAAGACTATTTTCTGAATGGGAGAGACTTCAGAAAAGGACAGAGATTTGGAAGCCCTCGTCCAGGTTTACATGCAGGTTCAGTTGGCAATTAGGAAGGCAAATGCTACATGAGCATCCATTTCAAGAGGGCTAGAATGTGACAGCAGAGGATATACTGTTGTACGAGGCTCTGGTCAGACCGTATTTGGAATACTGAGAGCATATTTGGGTCCCGAATCTAAGGAAGGATGTGCTGGCATCGAAAATCATCCAGAGGAGTTTCCAGGGGATGAAGGGCTTGTCATATTAGGAGCTATTAAAGATGGAGTTCAGAAGGATGAGGGGTGATCTGATTGAAAATTACAGATTTCTTAGAGGCCTGGATAGAATGGACATAGAGAAGATATTTGCACGAGTAGAAGAGACTAAGACCTGAAGGCACAGCATCAGAGTAAAGGGACAACAATTTCAAACTAGAGTAAGGAAGAATTTCTTGATGGTGAATCTGTAGAATTCATTACCTGAGAGGGATGTGGAGGCCAAGTAACTGAGTGCATTTAAGACAGAGATAGACAAGAGCTTGATTGAGATCAAGTGTTACAGGGAGAAGACAAGAGAATGAGGTTATGACACATATCAGCCATGGTCATGATGCAGACTTAATGGGCCAAATGACCTAATTCTGCTCTTATAACTTATAGTCTTATGGTCTATCACATAAAATATTGATTTACAACTGGGTGTGTAAGATAAAATATAGTAAAGGCAGCACCAGGCCCCTCACAGTACAAGGAAGAAAAATCCTTATTTCGCCAGAGAACAGCATGACCATAATGGTCAAGCAACCTAGTCAGCTTCAGTGTGCTCTTCTTCTCCTATTGACACTAGCATTGCTCATTCTTAATCTACAAAATAAGCTGTTATCCTTCTTATTCAATAATCTTCTCCCTCTCTTCATCAGCAAGCACTACCAGCACCCAGGAAACCTCCACCACATAGAGGCCAGGTGAGGGGACTCTCAACTCCACCTTGAACTCTGAGGATTAAATCACTGAAACCTCAGAGGATGCACTAGAAAGGCTTTCACTTGCGCCCTCTACCAACTCAGACACTTTCACATTGGTACTCTATCCAGTTTACACTCGCAAGGACAAGCTGGTGAGCACATCACTGACAGCTCTCCCAGGCTGGTCATGGAAGAAACACCAAGGTCTCTGGCACATGGAGGTATGCTGGACACTATGCACCTGCTCAGGCCCAAGCAGAAGACAGTCCATGGTCTTACCATTGATTACTTCATCAAAATGCACAGACAGACACAGGGAGAGTAGGCAGGTGTCTCAGAGAAAGTCAGCAAGCTAGTCCATAAACTGTATCAGTACAATGCCAGCTCTAGCATGTGTTGACCCGGCTGCTTCCAAAGCGAGACAGTCTCCTGTAAGGAAACCCTAGGTCCAGCATGCTTAGTGCCTGCCAGACATGCAAACAGACCTGCACTCCATCTTTCAGGTCAGGAGCTCAGCATCAATGGCAATCTGAGAGGCATGAGGGATCAACCTCACTCCAGGTGCCCTTCCCTTCAGGGAGATAGGAAGGAGGGGTTACACACAGGATCTCCAGAAGCTTCTCCTGAGGATACTCCAGAGGTGCTTCGTCTCTTCACCTCACCTTTGTCTGTGATTGCAAAGCCAGCAGAAGTCGAAGTTGAGGAGCATAAGCCTCCACCTGGACAGGGGTGAGACATTTAGGCCTTAAGGCCCTGGGGTCAGGTACCCAAGATTTCCAGGCCACCTTCCCTCCATAGGACAGTGATCTGCCAAGAAATGTTGCACAAAGGTAAGCCTCCCATGGTTCAATGCACCCCAAAAGGAGATTCAAGTAATTCAGGGCAACTTTGCACTCTGCAAACACTCTGAAACATCGAAGGTCTACAGATAATTTCTCAAAATTTCTGAAGCTTGCAATTTCCATGAGAGATTTTGCTGTACAACATTCGGATCTGATATGTTGACTGAAGACTTAAGACCTACCTCATCTTTGTGCCATGTAATGTTATTTTACCTT